AGACCAGACGTGTATCCCAAAAAACGCCATAGTGTAGATATAGCCTGACAGAAGGCTGTCTTTGCCTAATTTATTTTTTTTCTGTATTACAGCAGAGGGAAGGGGGTAGGGTAAGGGAGCCTGCTCCTCTGCACCAGTGCCTCTTAGTGATGAAAAGGTGGCTTTTTACATTAAAAATTTCAGGTAATAAGTGATTTCTGGGACCAGACGTGTATCCCAAAAAACGCCATAGTGTAGATATAGCCTGACAGAAGGCTGTCTTTGCCTAATTTATTTTTTTTCTGTATTACAGCAGAGGGAAGGGGGTAGGGTAAGGGAGCCTGCTCCTCTGCACCAGTGCCTCTTAGTGATGAAAAGGTGGCTTTTTACATTAAAAATTTCAGGTAATAAGTGATTTCTGGGACATTGTCTAGCACTGTCAGTATTGGAGGTGCATTAGTAAAACCCCAACAGTGGCACCCAGATCTGGATAGCTAACATGTAGGCATTGCACGCTACATTGTTATTCCTTGTTCATTGTAGGGATCATAAGATAATTACTTGTATTTGGGGAATATATTAAGGCACTGTTTCTCAGCCAGTGGTATGAGTATCCTTAAGGGTACTTGAAAGAAGTCTGGGGGGTACGTCAACACAACTGAAATTTGGAGAAAACTGAATTTTTGTTTTAAGTTTTACAGTGCTTTGTTATTTTTATACTGTTTACACCCACAAATTTTATCGCCCGCCTGGCTATGGTTAAGTTGCTAAACAGATGTGTTGCAATGGTAGAAAAAGATGTGTGTCTGAAAACAGTAAGTACTGAGAGTACTTAAATATTTTTTTTGATGAAAAAGGGGTACTTTATTAAAAAAAGGTTGAGAAATACTGTATTAAAGAGTATGAGCATTCATGAAATCTTCATATAGGTATAAAACATAGCAGCTACTCATAAGAGTTTAGGTTTCCTTTTTCTCAAGACTATTAAACTAACTCAATAACAAATTATTGTTAAAGCTATTTATACTATTGAATTTACAAAAAGGATATCTTAATTTTGTTTTCTAGTATGGTGATGAAGTAGCATGGTCAGAGATAGAGAATGTCTGGACTACTCTAGCAGACAGTTGGCCAAAAAATCTGAAAATAATTTTACACTTTTTGATCAGCATTTGTGGAGTGAATAGCGAACCCAGCCTCTTGCCTTATGTAAGTGCTTGATGTTACAGTATTCCTTCATATTCTTATTTCTTTAAAATTTGATTTTGTATTTAGCTGCTCCTCATTTGAAGACCACTAAATAGATGAATAATAACATAAAGGGTCATGATATCACATTCAACTACAGCATGAAGTTGATGCCATCTCATTGTGTCACAATGTGACAACTCAATGCTGTGACCAATTCAAATTCAGTGTCTCCCACTTTGCAGTCTCTGATGTTGATATATATGATCTATTTCAAATTATCTTCCAAAATGAAAACATTCTCCCAAGGAGAAGACTTTCACTTTTTGGCGTGGCTTTATTTTTATAAATGAATTCCTTTATTCATAAATGCATGATGATTTTTAATACTATGTTTCACCCCCTCTTTCTTCTTTGTTTTGTTATCGTATTCTATATTATTGCTCTACCATATACTGCTGTATCTTTAAAAGAAAATTCTATTTTGACTAGGGATCAGTCTTGTGCCTGATATATTAATAAATGAACACTGGAATACTGTAAGGGCTGACTAGACATGCAGCATTGTGGAAACCTTCCCATGGTGGAGGATAGGAATGTTAAGTAGCGATTAATTTTCTAGTCGAGTAGTCGATGGAATTTCCATCAACGACTCAACTAGTCAATAAGCACTTCCATGTTCCGCTTTTGAAATGTACAAAAGCCCCAGTGGACATTTCAAAGTTGGAACTCTGCGTGGAGCCCAGCGCCAGTGGGAAGTCCCAGGCTCCATGCTGACCCCAGACTCCATGCTGCACTTCCTCTTTGAAATGGACAAGAGTCCCTGGTGGGGACTCTTGTACATTTCAAAGCTGGCACACCACATGGAGCCTGGGGTCAACTGAGGAGTCCGCAGCTGACCCCGGGGTGCACCTGGCATTTCAAAGCAGCAGCACCACATGGAGCCCGGGGTCAGCTGAGGACTCTCCAGCTGATCCCGGGCTCCCTGCGGCACTTCTGCTTTGAAATGCCATGAGGAGTCTGATGCCGGGCTCCTGGTAGCAGTCAGAGCATCAGCACTGCATGGAGCAGCTGACCCTGGGCTCTGTGCAGTGCTGCTGCTTTTAAGTACCCCGACTTCTCCCCACCTTGTTGTCTCTATCTGATAGAGGCAGCAAGACAGGGGGAGCGACTAGTCGTCGACTATCTGATAAGCATTTGCTTATTGGATAGTCGACTAGTTCTTTACGTCCCTAGTGGAGGACCATAGGAATTATTTACACAGATGGAGATAGGCTACAGGGTAAGCAGGCTAGTTTTACTAGTGGATTTCAAGAGAAGGGCTGCATTGTTGGAATTTTGTGGAGTAATCATTATTAACAAGAAGCATGCTGCCAATAATTCCTTCCAACTTTTAAAGAGGGAGTTTTAGCTCAGCCAGCTCATTCTGCATTGGAGAGTTATTGTACTCTGCATTGGAGACCTAACAGAGCAATTGTCTGCCACTAACTTCTGGGTTCACACAGAGAAATCAGAATGGAGACATTGAAGAATGACTCCATCCAGTTTCTAGGATCTAGATACCCCAAGATAAATTCAAGTTCAGTGAAGAAAACTGAACATTCCCACCCCTTCTCTGAGACCTTGTGTCTCACGCACTCATTTTCACCTGTCAGGGCAGTGGTAGATCTTGGAGCCTCCGACAGATGATCCTGACTAGTTTGGCCAAGAGGCTATCAAGTGCCTGCACTTCACCTGCCCCTCCCCTGACTGCTGCGCATCTCCTGCCCTTTGCCTTGGAGCTGCCCCTCCCCCAGGAGGCTCCTGCTTTCTGTGCAGAGTAGGGGAGGGAAAGAAGGGGCGCTGATGTCAGGGTGCCCCCTCTCCCACTCTATATATCCTTTCTCCACAGAGCAGAGAGGGGGCACAACAGGACTTGGGATGGAGTTTGCTGGCTGTTTTAGGGAGTGGTGCAGGGCCATGTCAGGGGTGAGCCTGCCTTAACCCCAGTGCACCACCATCCAGGAGCCACCAGCAGTGCCCAGCTGGAGCCCACATCCCAAACTCCTACCCCACTCATGAACCCTGTCCTGTACCCCAAACTCTTATCCTAACCCTGAGCACCCCTGCATCCAAATGCCATCCCAGAGCCTACACCTAGAACCCCCTCCTACATCCAACTGCCTGCCCCAAGAGCAGCTCAGAGCCCTCCTCACACTCTAAATCCCTTAATCCAAGACCAGAATGTGCACCACAGCCCTCTGCCCCAGCCTGATGAAAGTGAGTGAGGATGGGCAAGAGAGGAAGAATGGAGAGAGCAGGGGTGGGAAGGAGGCAGGGCGAGGGTATTTATATTTGAGATAGATCTTGGATTTCAGTTAAATTCAAAAAGTGATCTTGTGCTTAAAAAGGTTGGAGACCACTGTGTCAGAGGATTAGGGCGTGGGAATGGTGGAGGGCCCCAGCTGGGTTTGCAAGCTCTGGGATAGAGAGAGAAATGAGATTCAGGATGCCAGAGGGGACACAGGGCTGAATCAGAGGGTTGGGGTGTGGGTGGGTCTGAGGGATGCTGGGTTCAGGTGGTGCTTACCTTAGACAGCTCCCAGGAAGTGGCCAGCATGTCCATCTAACTCCTGGGCAGAAGGAATGGCCAGGGGGTCCACATATACCCACTGTGCACAAGAACCAACCCCTCAGCTCCCATTGGCTGTTGGCATTCCCGGCCAATACGAGCTGCGAAGCTGGTGCTCAGGGTGGGGGTAGCATGAAGAGCCCCCGTTGCCACTCCTACTCCTAGGAGCTAGAGGGACATATCGGCCTCATTTCCTAGAACCTCTGCAGAGCCAGGTAGGAAGCCTGCACCAGCTGGACTTTTGGACCCTTTTCAACAGGGCCCCTTTTCAACCTGGTGTTCCATTCAGAAAGCGCATACTTGGCAACCTTAATGTTACTGGAGTTTGCGGAAAGTAGTAAAAGAATGATCAATCATTTTATCCCTAACTAGAATAACTACTGAGAGTGGTTTTGTTGTTTTTCGGCAGTGAGTTTGAAGTACTTTTATTTTGTTCTTTCTTAACAAAAACTTAAAATGACTTAAAACAGTTTACTGAAATAGGACCTTAAATCCCACTTTCACTTAATATGCAACTAATAAACAAATTTCATTTGATTAGTTGTTTAAGTTGTTAAAACACACAAGGGATTCAAGCATCTTGAGATTGAAATATATGCTGTTTTGCAATATTGCCACTTGAACAAGAAGAACGGTACAAATACAAGTAAAATAAAGTTCATAATGGGTATCATTAAAAGGTGATATGTTTATTATAATACATATACAAAAGTGTATGTTTATTATAATGTGATTTTACATAACCTAATTGAAATTAGGCATTTCCCTGAAATCTTTATTTTTGTTTGTTTAAACATGTCTGTCACATATACAAAAAATGTGTGGCTATAGTAATGTTTGAGAATCAGAAAGAGAATCTGGATAAAAACATAAGTGAAACTGTATAAGTTTGCATTTTCGTTCAACATAAATTAAATTCTAAAAGTAAATAATCACAAGAAATTATTAACATAAAATTTTTACAGATTTTAAATATTACTAATCTAAGGGGTTTTTTTCATTGCACTGATAAAGCATCTTTATATCTTCATGATATTTAAGTAAGGAATCTTATCTTTGCTTTTATTTCTGAGGTTTACTCCTGGTGACAAATACTGAAGTCGTTATGAGTTTTCTTTAGGACTAGAATAGGTGGCATAAATCTTCACATGCAATAAGTAATGAAGGGTATTTATCTAAAGGCAAAAGATTGTGGTGTACAGTTCATCTGTCTTTTCGCTCATCTTTAAAAAACTTAAATTCAGTGTCTCATTCATGTTTCTGTTTTAATGGCAGGTGAAAAAGGTTATTGTCTATTTAGGTAGAGATAAAACAATGCAACTATTGGAAGAACTGGTGAGTGAACTACAGCTTACAGATCCAGTCAGCTCTGGAGTCACTCATATGGATAATCCACCATATTACCGCATCACTTCCAGTTACAAAATTCCTTCCGTCACTTCAGGTGAGAATTCTTTTGACTATGCTATTACTGTGTTCAATTGTTGTTTTTATTATTATTATTATTATTATTATTAGTTAATTGGAAAAGCTATATGCAATGCAGTCACGGCAGATCTAATATAGACAAATAGAAACGTTTTTTTCATTAAAAACTGATGGTAATTCTTAAATCAGTTTACAAAGGTTTATATAGAGGTAAGGTAAATTGATAACTTTCTAACATAAGCAAAATCTATATGGCCCTGTGTAACCTTAATTAAGAACACTAAAATAGGAAATGGTACCAGTTTAAAAGTGGGTTTTACTCATGAAAACCTATGATCCTATTTATTTTTGTTAGTCCTATTGCACCTTAGAGCAGTATTTCTTAAACTATGTTCTGTGGAACACTGGTGTTCCGTGAACAACTTGCAGGTGTGCCGCGACCTTTTATTTGTGTTTGTTACTTCTTTGTTTTTGTCTTTTTTTGTCTGACAACAATTTTTTTTGTTGAAGAAAATTTTCTGCATAAAAAAAATTGTTTGGTGTTCCGTTGTCTCAAAAAGTTTAAGAAACACTGCCTTAGAGATTACTCCGCTGTCATTAAAAACAGCGTTAGTTAAACTGGTACGAATTTTGTATGTAGACAAAGGCCTTGTTTTCTACAAATTAAAAAAGCAAACAAACCCAAAGACTTTAAAAACACTTTATTTTCCATGTGCCTTAGTCTTGTAGCTTGTTGACCGCTTAGGCTATGTCTATACTGGCGGCTTCTTGCGCAAGAACATCTTGCGCGAGGGTTCTTGTGCAAGAAGTCTTGAGCAAGAAAACGTCCACACTGCCATGTGCACGCTTGCACAAGAAAGCTCTGATGGCCATTTTAGCCATAGGGCTTTCTTGCGCAAGAAATCCCTGCCGAGCGTCCACACTGCCCTCTTGCGCAAGGAGCCCTCTCTTATCACGCTGTACTGTAAATTTCCTTGCGCAAGAGTGGGCAGGCAGTGTGGACACTCTGCAGATTCTTGTTCAAGAACGGCCATACTTGTGCAAGAAGCCGCGAGTGTAGACATAGCCTTAGTCTCTGATCCAGCAAAACACTTAAGCATCTTAATTTTAAACAAATAATTTCAATGGCTTCGTGTATTCCTAAGTTAAGAACTTTGTAGGACTAAGCCTGTGTACAGAGTTGACAGGTGTCCAGTTTTCTACCAGAATGCCTGGTTGAAAAGGCATCCTGACAGTTCTGGTCAGCACAGCTGATCGGACCTCACAGTTGGCTACAGTGGCCAGCTCTGCACAGCTCTCAGAAGTGGCTGGCATGTCCCTCTGGCTTAGCAAAGGTGGCTCTGCATGCTGCCCCAGCCCATAGTTCAAGCACTATGCCAAATACCTTCTTTGCAGGCCAGGAACCATGTCCAATGGCAGCTTCAGGGGAGGTGCCTGTGGATAGGAGCTGCATGTAGAACCTTATGGCCACCTCTGAGCCTAGGAGCCAGAGAGACGTGCAAACTGCTTCCAGGAGCTGCCTAAGATAAGTGCTCCACAGAGCCTACACCTTCCTAGACACCAACCTCCTGCCCCAGCTCTGAGCCTCAACCCAAAACCTGCCACACTGCCAGCCCCTCCCACACTCTAAGCCCCTCAGCCCACAGCCTCCTCCTGTACCCCAAACCCCTCATTTCTGGCCCCACACTAGAGCAGACATCTCTAGCAGGCCCCACCCTAGAGTCCACAGTCCAACTCTCTGCCCCAGCCTAGTATCAGAGGCAGCAGCGTGGGGGGCAGGCGGCTCTGCAAGAGCCGGCACGCGCAGGATGCCACCTTAAAAGCCTCAGTGAGAGGCAGCAGCATGGGGTGGAGGTTCCCCAAAAGCACCGGCTCCTGCCCACCCCACTCTCAGCTGTGTCTGTGGGAGGCAGCAACGTGGGGAAGGGGGGCAAGAGGCTTCAAAGGAGCCAGCTTAAAAACCAGATCCTAATGGGCACCAGCTGCAGCTCACTTAAGCTATACCGCCCCATCCACTCTGCTCTTTATATCCATGCTAACTGGGTTTTCAGTGTCTCTACTCTAAACACTGAGGTAAATGTAGACATATCCTTAGAGGAGTATGGAGTGCAGCATATAAGAAAGGAAGAAATACATATCTAAAACATTTTCCTTTTACAAAATATTTATTTTCTACTAAATCCACATTGTAAAGACTTAAACTCAAATCTTTTATATACACAAACAAACTGAACACATTAGTAAACAGTATTTCATAAGCATTTCTCACATTATAAAAAAATTTCAGGAACTCTGGTGCAATGAAAATGTAGCAGCCCATTTTTTTAAATTTAAATTGTAACTATTATTTTTCAAATTGATAATAAATGGTCCTCAATTTATATTTGAACATATTGCCACCAAGTGTGGTAAACACTAAGGTAGTATTTACAGTGCAGTAGAACATGTGAGGTGGGCCTGGGTCAGCTAACTTGTGCTGATGGGGTTATGGCTGTGGAGCTTTAAAATATCAGTGCATTGTAGATGTTCAAGCTATGCCCAGAGCCCAGGATCTTGGATCTCTTGGGGGGGCTCGTAGCCCAGGCTCCAGTCCAAGCCTGAACATCTGTACTGTCATGTGAGAGCACCTCCCTCTTACCTCCTCATACCCTCGCCACATGTCTGAGTGAGCTGACCCAGGCCAGTGTAGGTGTTTTATTGTGGTGTAAATGTACCCCTACTGCTTTTACACAGTACTACTTCAGTACAGAGAAAATATAGATTCAAGATTTTCAGATAAATTCATATATTACATAAGCATCTCAACATTTTTAGCTATCCTAGTTTTTCTTTTTGTCCTTTAATTTACAGGTACTACTTCCAGTAGCAATACAATGGTTGCTCCCACAGATGGCAATCTTGACAATAAACATACAAAAGACAATATAGAAGAGAAGTAAGTATCTCCTCATAGATCAGCAGTACTGAGTAATAACTACTGATAACCAATGCAAAGAACTGCAGTCTCAGTTTCTACTACATTATTATTTTCTCAGTTTATACTACATTATTATTGCAACCAATCAAATGATATATGTAAATTTCTGTTTCTTAATTTAATTTTATTAGGGACCAACAATGCATATATTTCTTGACCTTTAATTAACTCTTCCCGGATTTGTGGATTCTCCTTGTGTGGTGGTCTTATTTAAATCTGTGGGTTTTATAAAAACAGAGCTGCTACAGTATAAGCTGCATAGCATTTATGTGGCTTTTTGTTTGTTTTTTAAAGGCTTGTCTATATGGGGAAATTTACCAGCAGAACTATATCTTTATAATTATTCTGTTATAACTCCTCATGTTTACACTCTTATTTCAGTGTCAATGTCTAGAAAAACTGCCTTTTCTGATTAGTTTTTGTCACTTTGAAAACAGCATAAATTAAAAGTGGAATCAGAGTGTTCATGCAGAGAATTATACTGTTGTTATTATATTCTTATTACTGGCACAACTATACCAGAATAAACTTCTGTAAGCAGACAAGTCCCTCATTACAAGAAAACGAAAATGTCAGATATATTGGACAGGGCTATCTAGAGGATGGTATGCCTCAGGCCCCCAAACAGAGTGGTGCTGGGACCCCACACTCCCAAGTTGCAGGGCCATTCATTGAACTTTTGCCCACCCACACCTTTTCCCAAGTCATGACATGAGAAAAGGGCCATACTTGAGTGGTACTCTGAATCCCATCATCAGATTGCAACATCCAGAGCAGGGAGCTGGATTCAGTCCAGCGAGACAGAAGCTGCTGCTGCAGGGAGAATATAAAGCAGATTCATTCTCCAACTCTGCTCTGTGTTTGTTTTTGAACCCTTGGTGGGAGGAGCTTCTGTTTCGGATTTTACTTGGATCCCTAGAAATATCTATCTGGCCCTACTAAAGGAGAGCTCTCCAGTTTTTTTATTGAAGGTATTCTATGCAAGATACTGAACTTTGCTTATCAGAGATGTAACACAGAACTTGCATCCCAGGAGGATGTGCAGTTCGGGTGCCTTTGCATCTTCCCAGTCTTAAGCTATTCTTGGGGCTAGAGATGACTCCAGTTACCAGAAACAGTGCTGAAGGCTGTCTGATTCCAGCAGTCTCCTTGGGCTGACTTCTAAGCTACAGCATTGCCTAGAATCTCTGTAGGTGTGAATTCTGCAATAACTTTCATAATATACACCTTGCACCCATGTTTGGAAATGGGCTCAGGGGGTCTTTAGGAAGCAGCCATATGTCTATTATAGGAGAATTCTGCACTGGTTGGAAAAGGGGGCTTTTAATGCTCATTTATGTTGCTCTAACCATTTTCTACAGCATAAAGGGACCAGAGTGAGAGGTGAGAATCTCCTCCTGTGCATATTTTTCAATTCATCTATTGACTTTGTTTTGGCAAATAAGGAAGCCTAAGATTGTGCCATGGATATTTTTAGTAAAAGTCAAAGACAGCACATTGGCAATAAAGAAAAAATCGTGGAAACCGTGACTTGTCCCTGACTGTACTAAAAATATCCATGGCACAATCTTAGGCTTCCTTATTTGCCAAAACAAAGTCAATAGATGAATTGACAAATATGCACAGGAAGAGATCCTAGGGAAGGCGCTCGGCAGCTGAGAGGTAACAGAGGGTATGTCTACAATACCCCCCTAGTTCGAACTAGGGGGGTAATGTATGCATACCGAACTTGCTAATGAAGCCCGGGATTTGAATTTCCCGGGCTTCATTAGCATAAAGCCGGCGCCGCCATTTTTAAAAGCCGGCTAGTGCGAACCCCGTGCCGCGCGGCTACACGCGGCACGGGCTAGATAGTTCGGACTAACAAGCCATTCCGAACTATCTGTACACCTCGTTCCACGAGGCATCCAGATAGTTCGGAGTAGCTTGCTAGTCCGAACTATCTAGCCCGTGCCGCGTGTAGCCTCGCGGCACAGGGTTCGCACTAGCCGGCTTTTAAAAATGGCGGCGCCGGCTTTATGCTAATGAAGCCCGGGATTTGAATTTCCCGGGCTTCATTAGCAAGTTCGGTATGCATACATTACCCCCCTAGTTCGAACTAGGGGGGGGTAGTGTAGACATACCCAGGGAGCTTTGGGGCCATCACCATCTGTGAAGGCTCAGAGCTGCGGAGGAACCCTGCCCTGTGGCAGCAGCTGGGGAGCTGCAGGGGTCTCCCTACACTACAGTGATGGCTGAAGAGCTGCAGGATACCCCGGCTGCCTATGGTAGTTCAGAGCATGGAGCATTGCCTCACCTGGTGGTGGCACCTCACAGCTCCCTGCCATTGCAGGAGGTGGCAAGACCTTGCAGCTCCCAGCTGTATTGGAGCTGAAGTCATGGAGGTCTTTGGAAGTCACAGATACCATGAATTCCATGACCTCTGTGACAAAATCATAGCCTTAATGACAAGATCAACTGAGTGTAAACTACTTTGGGATAAAAACCACTCTTGTTATGTTTTTAAAATGCCTAACACACAAGCTCTTAATAATTACTACTTCTCTTAGAGCAAAATGCAGGACAATGTAGCACTTTAAAGACTAACAAGATGGTTTATTAGATGATGAGCTTTCGTGGGCCAGACCCACTTCCTCAGATCAAATAGTGGAAGAAAGTAGTCACAACCATATATACCAAAGGATACAATTTAAAAAAATGAACAAATATGAAAAGGACAAATCACATTGCAGAACAGAAGGAGGATGCGGGGGGGTGGGAAGGGGGAGGAAGGAAGGTAAGTGTCTGTGAATTGCTGATATTAAAGGTAGGGAGAGTGGGATGTTTGTGAGTTAATGGTATTAGAGGTGATAATTGGGGAAACTGTCTTGGTAATGGGTGAGAAAGTTCAAAGACTTGTTAAGTCCTTGTTGGTAAGTGTCGAATTTTAACATGAATGACAGTTCAGAGGATTCCCTTTCAAGTGCAGATGTAAAAGGTCTTTGTAGCAGAATGCAGGTGGTCAAGTCATTGAGAGAGTGTCCTTTCTGGTTAAAATGGCAAGAAACTGTTTTTTCTTTGTGATCTTGTCTGATATCTGTTTTGTGGGCATTAATCCTTTGGCGAAGTGTCTGAGATGTTTGTCCAATGTACATAGCAGACGGACACTTTCGGCACATGATAGCGTAGATTATATTTCTGGATGCGCAGGAATATGTGTTCTTGATCTTATAACTCACTTGGTTAGGTCCAATAATGGTATCAGCAGAATGAATATGTGGACAAAGCTGGCAACGGGGTTTGTTGCAAGGGAAGGTACCAGGGTTGGTTAGAGATATCTATTAACCTCCGTTGCAATTCATATTTACCTCTGTATCATGTTTACTACAAAATATTATTGATACGTTATTTAATGTGTACATAAACACTGTATTCAGCCAGAGTTCTAAAGAAATGTACTATTGCAAAAGATGATCTCATTGAGGCACATGAAGTAAAATTACTACAATGAAAAGTGCTCCTGACTGATTTAATAGAGAGCAATTGGATGGTTTGGGTACCATACAACAAAATATATAGTTGTGTTAGTAATAGAAATTATTTTGCATAATATATAGTTACATTTAAAAGAAGGCTTTGTGTAAAGCACTGAATTGCTGTATCATTCTAAAATAAAACAGGCCTCTTATTAACACTCATATATTCTTTTGTTCAGCTATGTGCATCTAGATATCTACAGTGGATTGAATACTAATTTGAACCGCCAGCACCACAGGCTAGAATCTCGCTACAGCAGCAGCTCTGGAGGATCGTACGAAGAGGAAAAAAGTAATATATTTTTTTTAAATATTTGAGTAAATAAAGCCTAGAATTTCACAAATATTAAAAACTGTTGGATAAAGATTAGAGGATAAATTCACCTTTATTCTGAAAGAGTGACCAGGGACTATAGGGAATAGGCGATGAACTAGGCTGTTTTCTCTTGCATCCAGACCAAGAGAGTTTCACCAAATCCTTTAGCTCTAACCTCCCAGTCCTAATATTGCTTTTGAAGTTGCAACTAATAAAACAGAAACTCAGTTTCCATAGCAGGATGCAGGACAGGTTGGGGAGCCAGATGTTGTAATGCTTTCTCTTCCCTTGGATGTTACACCTTCAGCCAACATGGGGGTCAACAGGAGCATAAAAGTCTATGCATCACCCTTAAGACAACAGCTGCTGGCTCCAATTTCACCTCTGCCACTGTCAGCTGCACTACTGTAGTTCTTTAGTGAAGAGACAACTGTGCTGATGGGAGAACTACTCCCATTAGCTTAGAGTTAATTAACTTTTCCAATAATAGGTAGCTGTGTTTAAGGAAGAAGCTCTCCCATTGACATACCACTGTCTACATTGGGATTAGGTTAGTATAAACACATTGCTTGGGGGTGTGGATTTTTCAAACCCTGGAAGGACACATTTATACTGGTATAAGTCCAGTCTTCATCTGCTGATGGTGAAGTGGGGATTTCCTCATTCTCTACCCCATGATGGGCTCCCATACACACATTAAATTATAGATATGCCAATGAGACCCATCAGACAATCTGTATATTACCACTCTTAGACTCTGTATAGGCTGCATTGGAATTGAAAGGTGTGATCCAAAACTTACCCATTGCCTCCCATTAGAGTCTTCACCCAACCCTCTGTGTGTCATCTGTTTAACCTTTGTTGCATGCCTGATACTTCTGTATGTAGTTATGGACCTTCTGAGGTCCAGTTCCCCCCTACCATCAGGAAAGCTGGGGACTGACATATTCATCAATGGGGAACAGCCTAGTAATGCTGTAATACTGAGTGAAGAGCTTGTAGAAAGGGCAAATCCTGGGTCAGATGAGCCAAAAGTTTCTTCTTCAATGTGAGGTGAAATCTCTCTACGCTGACATTAGCCTGACCATGATACCTGGGGCTACAGACATGCCAGGGCACTTTGTCTGCTGGGATTTGAGTGAAACAAGCATAAACAAACTTCAGTCTGTTATAATAATTGTTGTGCAGGGATAATCCCATCTAACGAACCACTCCTTCACCTCATCACAGATTACTTGTGATAGGTACTAGGCTGCTAGTACCTATTTGGAAAAATATTTTAAGTTACTAATAGGCCCCACAGATGCTGTGGGGAAGGAACTATTTCTCTGCCTATGTCTAGCTGTATGGACTCTCATGGCCCAGGTGATAGTAGGGTAAGAATCAATGTACACTGACTTGCTTATAGGATTTACTACTAAGTAAACATGGGTCACAATTTCAGAGCAATTTCTTCAATATTGCTTTCAGTTCCTGAACATCATTCTGCCATGGGAGATCACTGTCTCATATGTACCACAGTGCATTTTATGGGCCGTGGCCAGCACCTCTTGTCCACATGTCCTCTAGAAATTCTACTCTAAGTCACAAAGTAGACCTTGATCACCCCATAATGACAATTCATGTCCTAGATGAAAATAAAACCCCCCGACAAACTGGAATAAATTTTGGCCAAAATTGATGAACATATTTGAGAACTTTCTTGTAACAATACATCCTGTTGTCTCGAACAATAATTTAGGGGTGGCAAGAGAACATTCAGTCATGGCATTATTATCTTCTTCCTGGCTCATAAACCTCCTTTCTGTGGATTTATCAGGTGAAGCCCAGGACAGCTGATCCGCCACCTGATTGCCTTACCTGGATGTTACAGTATTGAGGAATTGTACTCATGTAGATGATCAAGCCATTTGTGAATATGAAGGTGTTAGAGCTCTGGTCCAGATGGCATTAATAGTGTAGTTAATGACTTGTGATGTGAAAGCTTGCTAGGGCCTCCTGCTCCCCAGCTGAGTATTTATGCTCATCTGAGGAGAGCACTCAGGAGGTGAATGCGGCTAGTTATTCCATACCTGGTGGATCTGGGAGAGCACAGTGCTGTGAACTCTAACTAAAGCATCCTATATGACAGTAGTAGGGGCTTGTAAGGTAAGGTGTGCCAGTGCAGAAGCTGGTATGTTGTTTAAGATTGCACACTGCCTGTGAACATTCGAGTCCAGTTTCAGACAGCATCCTTTATGGTTAGGCCTCAATTGGAGTAGTGTGTTTAGTTCTGGGCACCGCGTTTCAAGAAAGATGGAGAAATTGGAGAGGGTCCAGAGAAGAGTGACAAAAATTATTAAAGGTCTAGAAAATATGAGCTATGAGGGAAGATTGAAAGAATTAGGCTTGTTTAGTGTAGTTAAGAAAAGAGAAGAGTGAGAAGGGACATGATAGCAGTTTTCAAGTATCTGAAAAGGTGTTACAAGGAGGAGGGAGAAGAATTGTTCTCTGTGGCTTCTGAAGATAGGACAAGAAGCAATGAGCTTAAATTAAGCATGAGAGACTTAAGTTGGACATTAGAAAAAACTTCCTAACTGTCAAGGTGGTTACAAACTGGAATAAATTGCCTATGGTGGTTGTGGAATCTCCATCTCTGGAAATATTTAAGAGCAGGTTAGACAGACACCTGTCAGGGATGATCTCTAGACAGTGCTTGATCTTGCTTGGAGGGCAGGGGACTGGACCTGAGGACCTCTTGAGGTCCCTTCCAGTTACAAGATTCTATGATTCTATAACAGGGTCCATAAACATACAGTAAGCAAAGCATAATCTTGCACAAAACAAAGGTAATAGTTAATCCAAGAAATGAGAGGCGTTCTGATTTGTCCATCCTCATTGGACTGCAATGGGGTGTTTGCACTTGTTGGCAGATGACTCACAAAATCCAGCTGATCCTAAATAAGAACACACTTCTACATGTTCTGGCTCCAAAGAGGGTCCTTAAATGAGGGTAGTAGCACTATATGTATGGAAGCATCATGCTCAAAATGAGATGGTCCATGAACCACAGCTGGAACCAGTGTCAACAACATGTTTCTTCATCCACTGACAACTGGGGCAATCCTCTCTATCATGCACATAGTTACTTGAAATTCTCAAAACACCGTAGAGGTTGAACTTCTCTATTCCAACACACTCTTGTCCAGCAGCATCAGTGGTCTGACATGATTTTAGTTAGACAGATGTCTATTTTTTATTATATCAACAGAATCAAACTGTTTTGGCTGGCTTTCTATTTATTTCTGGCTGTAACCAGCCATTCCAAAAGCCAGTCCTTCTCATCAAGAAGAATATACAAGGTGGATAACATAATGTATCTCACTGCCTTTTAAGTTAGCTAGTGTACTGTTCTGCCTTTGAAGGCTTTGCATGGGAGCATAAGGAGATGTAGGGCGTTTATATGGCTCTGACAGACATCATTATTCAAAAGATTCCATTCTTCCACAAGAGGCACTTGTGTACTTGCAGTGGGATTCACTTTGACAGCTTTTTGAATTACCACAATTACTGTTGGATAAGAAACTACTCTCTATTTTAACATTTCTCTGAGTGGCTTTTCTCATCTGGACACTTTTGTTTTTTCATGATCTGTAGCTTTAAATCCCAGGGCATTTTTAACATTATTACTATGTAGACTATTAGGTGGAAGATTATTATTAGTAAAATTGTCTGTTTTGCTTGGATTGACAAATTAAAAAAAGCAGAAATTAATTTTTTTATAGGTGATTCAATGCCACTATATTCTAACTGGCGACTGAAAGTGATGGAGCATAATCAAGGAGAGCCTCTACCCTTCCCATCTGCTGGAGGTTGTTGGTCACCACTGGTGGATTATTTGCCTGAAACTTCATCTCCAGGCATGTCTCTTCACAGGTAAATAATAACATTACATGAAAGTGACAGCAATTCAATTCAAATTAGGTTAAATGATACTACTGTTTTTATGTATGTGCTCTGTAAAGTAAGAAGAGCCTTTCCTTATTTGTTTAATTTCATGGGTTACTTACAATTCAACAAATTACAAACTATTACCTACTTTTTGATTTGGAGGACTGAAGTTTTTCGCATAGACTATATGGCTTATTGTGACTTTCATAGTTTTTCTCTCTTGGCTTGAATAATTTCATAATGTTAAAAAAAGCAACATTAGTTAAGAGTGTCTTTAAAAGTGCTACAAATCTTCAAAAGGTAAGCTACCATTGTATTCTGATCTTTTAACTGTGTTTGTCCTTTTCTTTAGATGTAATATAGCAGTGATCCTTTTGACTGACTTGATAATCGACCACAGTGTGAAGGTGGAATGGGGAGGCTACCTCCATCTGTTACTTCATGCAATTTTTATAGGTAACTAAACTGTTACTGAAATATCAAGGTTACGTTTTTAAATTGAGGAAAACTGAGAGATTAAAGCGACTGGGACTTTTCAGTTTAGAAAAGAGGAGACTAAAGGGGGATATGATAGAGGTCTATAAAATCATGAGTGGTGTAGAGAGGGTGGATAAAGAAAAGTTATTTATTAGTTCCCATAATAGAAGAACTAGAGGACACCAAATGAAATTAATGGGTAGCAGGTTTAAAACTAATAAAAGAAAGTTGTTCTTCACACAGCGTGTAGTCAACCTGTGGAACTACTTGCCAGAGGAGGCTGTGAAGGCTAGGACTGTAACAGTTTAAAGAGAAGCTAGATAATTTCATGGAGGTTAGGTCCATAAAAGGCTATTAGCCAGGAGATAGAAATGGTGTCCCTGGCCTCTGTTTGTCAGAGGCTGCAGAAGGACGGCAGGAGACAAATCGCTTGATCATTGTCTTCGGTCCACCCTCTCTGGGGCTCCTGGTGCTGGCCACTGTCGGCAGACAGGCTACTGGGTTAGATGGACCTTTGGTCTGACCCAGTACGGCTGTTCTTATGTTCTTATGCCTCTTCCAATAGATGCACACTGGAACTTTTTTCCCCAACTGGACATCAGAGTCAGAGAGGTGAACATGTCTGTAGTGATCCTCAGTGACCCAGCCTATCCCTTGCTCCCGTGGCTAATAAAGCCTTACATGGGCAGCCTGGACCCCAGCAAGAAGTTCAGTAATAGGTTGAGCAGGTGCAGAATGATGGTCGAATGTGTATTTGGATGTTTAAATGGGAGATTTAGCAGACTCCTGACCTGCTTGGACCTCAGTGAACACAACATTCCCTTTGTGATGTTGGTCTGTTGTGTGCACCATAAGCTGTGTGAGAACAAGGGGGAGACTTTTCTGGCAAAGTGGGGTGGGGGCTGAGGTTGAGCACCTTGCCCAAGAGTTTGAGCAGCTGGGTACTAGTGCTTTAAGGAGAGCACAGCAAGAGTAGATGCCCTGAAGTCCTATTTTGAGACTCTTCCCTGTGGCTCTCTACAAGTTGCCCTTGCATTCCCTGTGTTTCTCATTAATCCTCCATCCCACCGTACCCCTGCAGTTCAGCCAATAAAGAGTCCATTTTTCAATGAACATAGTGTTTGTTTATTAGGGAAAAACAACAGGGAAAGGAATGAACTGGAAACCAGAACAGGAATTCAGGAACAGGAGTGGGACTGACTCCCAAGAACCTGGAGACTGTGGTTCACCTTGAGTTTCCCCCCCTGTTCTGGGGCTCCTTAGGACGTTAGGTGTGGAATTCATAGGGTTGGTGAAGGAAGGACCAGGGGTGTCATTGGAGTGGGCAGGTGGCCCATTTGAGGCAGGTTGCCATGTATTCCAGTCAGGGTGGAAAAGGTCTCATGCTGCCACATGAGCTGCTTCCTGTATGGCCCTCCTCTCTTGTCATTCAGCAATCCAGTCCTGCCACTCTGTTTGAATATCAACCACGAGGGTGTACATGCAGTCCATCTGCTCTCTGAACATCTCCTCCCTCATGTGTTTGTGCCTGCGGATCGGAGCCAGACAGGCAGATACAGTAGGAGATGGAGGATGCACCGAGCTGGCTGCTGTCCCAGCTGCAAAGAAAAGTCACAAGAGCAGACATTACAGGAGATATGTTGTGTGAAGCCTAATCTCTTAGCATACATCGAAGGTCTCTGTAAAGACAAATGAGATGTGTTCCATTCAAGGTCAAATGTTTGCTTTAAAGTGGGCACTTTACAGAAGTGCCCAGACATCTCAGAGGAGAATCGGGACACACTTGATCCAGAGGCAAGGGGCCTGCCAGGATAGGAGCCTGCAGCTGGGAGGGGGGTGGCAGCATAGGGCAGCTTCCCGCTGTGTCTGGCACATGGGAGAGTGCTAATAGGTTCCCCTCCTCCTTCTCTCTCCAGGTTGTCATGAGAGATATCGGTCTTCTCTGAGTCACAGAGAGTGATCGGGAGTGTATACTGACTAAATGTGGTCATAAACCTGGGCCTTATCCTGGTGGTTTAATGATGCCAGACTACTTACTTCTGGCTTGGCATGGGAAGGCATAAAGTTGGCCTCAAAAACCTTGTGTGAGAGATCAAAAAGTTCCTGTGTGAGAGCTTCGTAGAGCTGTTCAGACAAGTATGGTAGACATGTGAACAAGTTGATCTGTGCCCCCTGCGCTGTATAGGCAGAGCAAGTGTGGTGCACCTCACACCCCATTGCCTGAACTCACTTGTAGATAGACAAAGATTGTGAACTCACCAGAAGTACCCTCCCTGGAGCCCTCCCCGGATGGCCTGAGAGACCGCCTAGGAGAGGGGACCAGTTCCAGTATCATGGGGAGCTACTTGTTCTCTGGCATCGGTGGCTGGCTAGTCTCCTTATGTCCCTCCGCAACTATGCTCTCCTCCTGGCTGATGCCAGGCATATGTTGTCTGGACTGAATAACCACACTAGGGGAGCTGGCCAGAATGATACACAGTTGCAACATGTGTGAGGTGCTGCTCTAGAGTGTCCACTCTCCTCCTTCCCCTCGTGGTACGACTGCCTGAGCTCTTTGATTTTTACCTTGCACTGCTGGGTGTCCCTGGAATAGCCTTTAGCTGCCAGGCAGATTGCAATTCTACCATAGGTGTCAGCATGCCTCTTGCTAGTTTTGAGCTTGTGCAGGATGGCTTCATCTCCCCACACCTCAGTGAGGTCCAAGATTTCCTGAATAGTCCAGGCTGGTGCTCTTATGCGCCCCTGGGAACTGGAGCCTGTGGGAACAGTCATCACAGTGCTCAGAGGAGTGTTGGCAGAACTCATCTCCTTGTGTACCACAGTGTGCTGCTCACTCTCAATGCTGGCTATGTGGGGCAGGCCATTCTACTGTTACCGGGGCTTTTTGAGCTCACTGGGAGCGTAGTAGACACAGAAGTTCTGGCCAAAGTGGTCATAGCGGACAGCTACGGGAGGCTTCCTGGAGGCCAATAGCTTTGAATTTCCAGCAACTTGATGTCTATGCTAGTGTAACTTCGACTGTGCAAGGTCAAGAATAGCTTTACTCCTGGTGAAAAGTGGGAGTACAGACATCAACTTGAGCAGCCCCTCAGGGTGATACAACAGGCTTGGTAGTGTGGACGCATCAGTTAGAAAATAAATCATAAGGAGCTAAAGTTAATGTAAGGTCTTAGAGTAACTAGGCCTCAGTGTCCTTAGTGCTTTTTATACTCCTCTGTTTTCAGGTACCAACAGTAAAGCCAGAGAGAGTTTTAATATATTGAGGGTATTATAGAAAAAATTGAAGGGGAATGGAAGGAGTGTAACCTCTGTTTCTACAAACAGCCAAAACGTAACTAACTTTCAGTTATTGTTGGTGAATCTTTCTTTACCAAAAATAAATATAGTTTGTAGAGTTTGAAATAGATCACTGGGACTGTTGTCAATTTTAGATATTGTTCAGTTAACTGCATGTTTAATTGATTAACCTTTCTATTTTCCTCTTTAATTATAGGGTTTGACCACTACCACCCTGAAGTGTATGAGCATTGTAAACGCCTGCTTTTGCACTTGTTGATAGTGATGGGCTCCAACAGTAATGTCCAGTCTGTTGCTTCTGTCCTTCTCAGGAACAGGGAGTTTAATGAACCCAGGGTGCTTACTGTCAAACAAACTGCACATTTGGATTATACTTTCATAGGTAATTACAGCTACATTGTTCATTTTCCATTCCAACAACACAGAAGGTCACTTTTTGATTGGATTTAAATATTACAAACTCTGTGGTTTTTTTTAAACTTCTTCAAACCTTGAAAATGAAATGTATTTCACTTCAATTTTGTCCAATTTGATGCAATTTCTCTCTTCTTTGGATTTTTCATTAATCTAAATTTTATATAGATGTTAACATTTTGTGCAAAGTCATCATCAGCAGTAGTTGAACAATTCCTGTCTGTTAATTCCTGGTTTTATAGCTTCTGAAATTTCAGAGGAAATTGTTAGTCATATAAAGTAGCAACTGCTTTTCTGTGATTTTAAAGAAATAATCATAGAAACTTTCAGCTTTAGATATAAGCCATTTGACATGTATGATTTAATAGAATACCAAAAGATTACAAGATGTTAGCATGACCTTTGCTTTTAATATTGTACAAAGAATGTGAGAAAACATTTAACATCTAAAGTGACCAGGAAGTATAATAAATCTACATTTAATGGAAACATTTTTTATGGAAGCTGCACTTTTGTAGTTTGCATCATGGATTTGGGGAATTGGTGAACAAGATTTAATTTTATTGACTCTGATATATCAAATTATCTTCAGCAGGTGGCAGCACCTGCCATACTATTTATTCAATTTTGTTGTACCTGAGGAGTAGTTTTGTATCACTAGGAGAAAAAAATACTTTGTAAATTTTGTGTACATTTAGTGGTCAAGAATATGAAGGATTAAGATCACTGGATAGATTCAGGTATATTGCAGGCATAACCTTATCCCACATGGCATAACCTTACCCAGTAAACTTTATCAAATGCAACTTGCTTCTGATCTACAAAATTATTCTTGTTTCATTCCTTGGGCTCTTGAATAGAGATGGCCAGCTGCACAGTATGTATGTTGTGTTTATAGTGTGAAAAAACGTTCACTAGTACTCAGGATGAGAAGTCCAGAAAACTGTTCTTTCCATGTTGACAATTGAAACATAATTGTTCTGGAGATTACTCCCATGTGGGGTTTAAGCAAAATATTATAATAGTGAATTAACTTTTAAAATGAGCTGATTAACAAAATATCTTGTATAAGCATTATTTCATGAATTATTTCATGAATCATTGATATTTTTTGAATTTTTTCAGTAGAACAGTTTATCATTTTAAAACTATATTAAGACTAGAACCTGCAAGCAGGTCTACTAAATACTGGTTAAATAATTCAATAAAATGGCAATTTATATCATTTTAATAGATTGCAGCCCTTAGTCTGACAAGATACTTAGTGTGGCTAAACCCATGTTTGGAGCCCTGTTGGCTTAAATCTTTGTGAATACAGGGGCTAGCCACACAGATATACTTGTGGAGTCAGATCCTAAATATGTTACTGGAGACATATTATCAATTTATTACCCAGTTCTCCTTCCATCTGAGGAATGTGCTGCATAAGCCGGGGGAGTAGGGGGAGACAGGAATGGAGATGGGGGGGGGGGAATAGAGAGAGTGATGTTGGGGTTGGCTGCAGAGTTTTTGTAAAGCCATTTTTGCCCTTCCCCCAGTCTATTCCTGCAGCTGTGTATGCATCAGTCCAGACCACCATCATTTCATTTCCCTTGGATCTGTTACCTGGACTTGGAAGCTATGCAGGTTGTATAGAAGCTATGCAGGTTGCATTTTGTGAATGGTTCCCATATGAAGAGAGAATGTGCCAGTAGCCAGATTAAGATTTAGAGCAACTTTGTGTCCAGAGTAGCACAGAACAAAAGCGGTTTCTCCTCTCTTGGTATTCACACCTCCATATCAACTGCTAGAAGTGGGCCTCATCCTCCCTGACTGAATTGACCTCGTTATTTCTAACCTTACTCTTGACTGGAACTCTTTTCTTATGCCTGTATATTTATACCTGCCTCTGAAATTTCTACTACATGCAGCTCATAAAGTGGGTCTTTGCCCACGAAAGCTCCAATAAATGTTAGTCTATAAGGTGCCACAGGACGACTTGTTGTTCTTGCAGATTCAGACTAACACAGCTACCTCTCTGATACAGAACAGCTGTAATTTATTGGTGAATCAGCCTTATGTATTAATTTGTAATAATTAATTTTGATTGTGATCAGATTACATTTCAGTCAAAAAGCCAATCTATGTTTTCATGAACCTTGTCATCTTGACTTCTATTCTACAAGCATATATGTGTTGCAATGCTTTTAACTTCAGCTACTGAATCAGTTTAAGGATGTGATACCTACAAGTACAGGGACTGATGGGTTGTCACTTCACTAGAATGTTAATATAAAAATGACTATGATATAATTGTGGACAGGTTATTTCCTAGTGTTTGTTTAGGCTCCAATTATAATTATGCAATTATACATGCACTTAACCGTAGATATGAGTATTCCTGTTGACTTCATTGAGTCATTCATTGCATGCATAAAGTTAACATATATGTTTGTAAAATCAGGGCTTTAGTGATAAAATACTATAAACTATTTAATTTCTTTTTTAAACCTATCTCATAAAATGTGTAATTCGTATAACAAATAAAATGATATAATTTCAGTGTTAGCATTGCAGTCAGATAACTGTGCTGATGATCTAGAAGATGAAAAGGAGAATCCTGTATATTCAGTTTGAAAATATTTTAATTATCCTAATCAAAATGCATCTTTTGAGAACCAGTGCATTATACTAATACAATTTTTAGGTCAAAGATGAAAATGCCAAACTATAATATAATCATAGTTGTTTTTCTGTCTTCAGGTGTTAATGATTTTATACCTGATTACCAGCCCTCCCCAATGACAGACTCAGGGCTTAGTTCAAGTTCTACCTCTTCTAGCATCAGCTTAGGAAATACCAGCGCTGCCATTTCTCATCTGCACACCACCATTCTCAATGAAGTTGATATTTCAGTAGAGCAGGATGAAAAAGTGAAAACACTCATGGAATTTATTACCTCAAGGTAACACTTTAAGATCAACTATTGTCAAGCTGTATGGTATATGGAAATATTGCAATATGACATATTATTTGGCATTAAGTTGACTATTTTCTCTTCAGTTTATCATCAGTAAGATTTTAAATCTGATCTTAAATATTCTCCTATTACATGGATGTTATGTATCTATAATAGCCTTCAAACCATTCTACTTAATCTACTTTCTAAGGGCAGTTGATTGGCTATCTCTCCTCCTGAGACTTCAAAAAGTCATTGCTTGGTATGCTCCCCACTGTTCTAGGGATCTCCTTCCCCACAGAAAACTTTTCAGGCTTTCAAACCCTTTCCTCTGTTTAGCAACCCCAATCCAACAGCTGCTTCCATTAAAGACAATTGAACCACATTCTGGGATCAGGTGGCAGCTTTCAAAGGATTCTTATTTTAATATGATAATTTGTTTGGTACTTTTAGCGTAATATAAATAGAGCTGCAAGGATACAAAATGTATATTGGCATCTGATCTGCATGAAAAAAAAATTCATGGACATAAAGTAGATATCCCCAGATTTGCAGGGCTAAAAATATAAACCTGAAATGCTAACGAGAACTTAGTGGTAAAAAACTTGACTGTTCAAACCAAGAAAGGGAGTTTTCACACAGGCCTAGAACTTTACAATAATATGGTGTTGAGTTGTGGTATTTCTGAACATCTGTAGCATCAGTTGGAATTAGGGTATTGCCATTGGGATAACTACATGTTCCCCCACCTAAATTCCTCCTGCAGTTTAAATTGGAATTAATATGTTGCTTTGGTTTTTGTCTTAATTGTTGGATAGTATTGCTGTGCACTTTTAAGCTGCTGCCATAGTTCATTCCAGAGATATCTGTGTTTCAGTATGCTCTATATAGTTAATACAATCTTCTGAAATTATTTTAGATGAAAAGCACTGCATAAATGAATAATAATAATAGAGGTTATATTTTATACTTTTATACTATGTGTTGGGTTTTATGTTTCTAGGAAAAGAGGTCCACTTTGGAATCATGAGGATGTTTCAGCCAAGAACCCTTGTATAAAGAGTGCAGAGCAGTTAACTGTGTTTCTAAAACATGTGGTGTCTGTGTTTAAGCAGTCAAGTTCAGGTATGTTAGAAAAGAATACATTGTAGAGTTTCAATAAAATAAAAATCTTCTATTTAAGAAAATATGCACAGATTTCCAGGCATTGACCTTCAGCTTTCAGCCAATAAATGTTGCACTTTTATGTGACAAGGTTCATAACCTGAGTTCAGATATGCTTGTGTCAACATATGTGCTTGGAGAACAAGAGAAAATAGCATACTGCCGATATTTATTGTTTAAATCTTGTATCTCTCTGTCCATCTGTCTCATTTAATACTGACTACAGTAATTCCTCATTTAACACTATAGATATGTTTCAGAAAATGATTGTGTTAAGTGAAAATGTGTTATGCGGGGTCAATTTTCCCATTGAAAATAATGGAAAAGGGGGGGGTTGAGTTTCAAGCGGTGGTGTCTGTTGGGACTGGGACATAAGATTGGGGGACAAAGGAGGGGACTTGGTTACAGCAGGGAGAGGATGTGTTTGGCTCTGGAGAAGGAAAGGGGATGGAGAGGGGTGGGGAAGGGAGGGGGATTGGGTTGGGAGTATGCCCTTGTGAGTAGTCTGCCGGGACTCACACTGTGTCTGGAGAGGGGGGGTTGCCAGGAAACGGTGCGGCCAGCCGCAAACCCTCCACCGCTTTGAAGGGAGGCAGGCAAAGCCCCGTGCAGCTGCCGGAGACGGACCGACTGGGGAAACCCAGCCTCTGGCCTGCAAGCAGGGGCAAGGTTTCCGGCGAGGGGGAGTCAACGGGGAATGGTGCAGCGAGTGGCGAAACCTTTGCCGCTTTGTAGGGAGGTGGGGAAAACCCCACGCAGCCGCCAGCAACGGTCCGGCTGGAGAAATCATGTTATTCCGGGGATGGTCGTATAATTCAAAAAATGTTCCCTAAAAAAAATCGTTCTATCGCGAAAACATGTTAAGCGGGCACGTGTTAAATGAGAAATTACTTTCATTTAAGTTTTTGAGCAAGTTCTTTGTTATTGAATGGATCTTTGTGAGGGATTCCGATTTTGCAAAGGGGTAGAGAGAAGTAGTACAAGTTGGACCTCCCTGGTCCAGCACCCTCAGGACCTGACTGGTCCCAGATGAAGGAATTTTCTGGACCAAAAGAGGTCATTTTTATACCCTTGCCACCAGCCCCTATGGCAGGGCTGCTGGCCTCCCAGCCAGTTCCCTACCTCTTGCTGGCCCTGCTGCCTTGCTATCCACTGGGCAGCCATTGCTGCCATGGCTCTGCCTGGCAGCCCAGCACTGGGGCTCCGGGCAGCTATGTGCACTGGGGCTTCCTGAGCAGCCACACGTGCCACATCAGGACTCTGTGAGTAGACTCATGTATGCCATGCGCCAGGGCTCCCAGCCCTGTCAGGCAGCCATACACCAGGTCTTCCCAACTCCATTGGGCAACCCCATGTGGCCCCGCCCTCAGCTCCCTGTGGACAGCCCACTGCCCTGCTGGCCCTGCAGGGATACTTACTGCTGGCCCTCCACTAGGAGACTCTGGTTCTGCAACATCTGTGCTAGACCATGGATGTTGCCGGACCAGAGAATCCCGATTAAGAGAGTTTCAACCAGTAATAGATAAAACTAGCTTAAAAGCCAGCACAGAGGTGACTAATAATCTTGTCAATAGAAATAAAAAGTATATAACAACACTGGCAATGTATGTAATAACTATAATTTTATTTTCTTTTTCTTTTTTTTTAAACTTCTGTGTTACTTGGACATACTTTTATAGCAGGATTTCAATTGGAGCAGCATCTTAGTGAACTTGCTTTGCAAACTGCACTTTCTTGCTCCTCTCGACATTATGCTGGGAGATCATTTCAGATTTTCAGGGCTCTGAAGCAGCCTCTTACTGCATCCACATTTTCTGACATTCTCTCCAGGCTTGTAGAAACTGTAGGAGATGCAGGAGAAGAAGCACAGGTATCTGCATATTTTCTTACTAATCTCACAATTTTACCATTTTATAAAAAAATGTGTAAATAACATTTTAATTATATTGTAGTGCCATAATAAAAGATAAAAACAATATGATTGGCTCAGCCACATTTTCTCTCTATACAAAGAAGAAATGGAGATTAAAATGATTTGGTTGGTATCTAGTTAAATTTCTGTGACACTTTAAATTTTCACTTCTGAACAACAGAGAAAAATAATTCATGGTCCTGTTGAGCACTTTGTTTTCAAAGGAAATCAGTATTTTCCAAACATTTAATTTCAGAAGTCTATATTAGATGTCTCAGGAAAAGCAGTGTGCTTTCTTGCAGCACCCATGCTTCTTATCATTTAAATATGCCTGAACTATTTTAAAATACAACAATAGAATATCTAATAAAACAACTGTTTTAATGATATTTAGATTTATCAGCAATGCATTGTTTCCTTTCATTTTATGCTGTATCACATTCTGTAAACGAAATAGATTATTCTATACAAACCACAGAAAGAGGAACTGAGTCAAAAAGTACAAATACACCTAGAAGTATTATGGAACTTGATAGTTATCTTGTGAGTAGTTTTGGACCAGAGAATACAACACAAATAAATTAATGCTTGTGTCATTAACTAATTTAAAATTAAATTATTCTTTGTTTTACATTGTTTTTGCAACATTAATTTGAGTTGTGCATCATAGGACCATTGTGCAATTAGATCAAGAAGTTATGAATCAGTCCCTAACATTGTTCATCCTATTTTTATATCATCAGTCAAGAAGTTCTGTGCAATCTCTACACTGTTACATATACAATAATATATAATAAGTATGGTCCTTTTTCAGGGTTTTGTCATAGAGCTACTTCTCACTCTGGAATCTGCCATTGATACATTGGCTGAAACCGTGAAGCATTATGATCTTATTTCTGCACTTTCTCAGTAAGTACTTGTACTAGTCAAACTACAGTATGCATGGGAACTATAAGTTGTTTATTACTCAAAATCAAAATGTTTCTTGACATCATTTCAGTTTGGATTTAACACAAAGATAACATGCTGTTTTCAAATGTTCATCTCTTTGAGCCCTTAGTCAAATTTCCTGAAACTCATTTCATTTAGTCCTTACTTTTTCTACTACTACGTGGTAGCAAATTATGCATTTCTAATCCATGAGTTTTTCTTGATTAACAAGGGGAGAATTTATAAATTGAATTTATTAGGTCCGGATTTTATTCACGGTGCTACTAAACAAATGGACCTCAATTCTGTGAACAATTGAGTGCCTTCAGTTCTGATTAACTTCAGTGGAAATGAGGGCACTCAACATCTGAGCCTAGCTGACTGTGGTGATCACAGAAGCACTGAGTTTCCTCATCTGTAAAATGTAGGTAATGATATTAATTTTTTGTAAGTGTTTTAAAGACATAATTTACAAGATGTCTGTATGAAGTTATTGTATCATGATAGGTATTGTTTGAATTAATGAGAATTATAATGATTTTAAACCAAATTTCTTCATATATAGAAGATACTAGGCCTCAATTAAAGCTGCCTATTGGCATTCCAAACTTGCTGCTTTTTTTGAAGTGTAAATTAAAGTCTTTAATTTTTCTTCCCCATACTGTCTCAAAACTAGCTCAATCTTTCAAACAATTCTTATCTTGTGTCTGAGAGCAAACTTGGAAAATTACATTGTAAATGTTATGGTTCCATTTGCCCCCCAAGGACTTGCTGTTTTAAAAAGAAAATTATTCTGGACAAGCATAATTATATATTATGCTTCAAATGTTCCTTACACATAAGGTTCTTGCCAGTTATTTGTGCTTTTTCATATCAAGATTGGATTACTGAGTCGGGTCCACATTAATAGAATTTAGAAATTTCATCTAGTGCAGAATGCAGCTATGGATATACTTTGAGATATTTCATGCATGAAATATGATCTGTAGCCAATATTATCTTCCATTTGGTTTCTGGGTATGATTCAAATAATTTTCACTTTATATTTGGGCTCTTGAATGCCTTAGAAACTGCCTCTTTTTGTGTTTAATTCTGGCATTTGAAATCAGCTACAATATTTCTCACCGTTGAATGCTGACCATAATGGGAGTTAAGAGTGTTTAGTACTTTCACAAGTTCCAGTCCTATATCTCAGATTTTAGGAGATGATAGTAAGGCATTATCAGTAGAGGGTCCCAACTTGAATTTGCTTTCCCCACTGGTCTGGTGAAGTTCAAAATTTTATTGAACTTAGGGGCATTTTCTACTCATAATTTCACTCAGGCTTTCGACTTTAAGGCCTGTGTTACAAGATATTCAATTTCTAGAGTTATAGAGGAATATAGTTTAGAGTATTGAGATGTATTTTAGGATCTAATACATGTGCCTACTTTATTGAATTCTATAAACTGAAAAAAATAATCCATTCTCCTATGTTCCTACATAACTCACAAGATGAAATAGTTTATAAGGTCTCTCTGTATAGTTCAAAGGTTAGTGATTACAATTCTCAGAAGGGTAGCCATATTAGTCTGTATCTGCAAAAATAACAAGGAGTCCTGTGGCACCTTTAAAGCCTAACAGATTTATTTGGGCATAAGCGTTCATGGGTAAAAACCATTTTGTCAGATGCAGATGTCTCCACACATCTGACAAAATGGTTATTACCCACAAAAGCTTATGCCCAAATAAATCAGTTTTAGTGATTACAGTGTGGCATTTACACTGTATATCCACATAGTTTGGGTTCCAAAAATATTGAAATCTTTAGTAAATGCTCTTGAGTCTGAATGCGAAAGGCATTGAGGATATAGATCTGTCTAGGATGCTACCTTAAGAGAAATATAAGAATACTAGAAGATTTTACCCAGTGTTGCTCAGGTCCTTCAGGGCTAGGGGTATGGAAGGTGCAGGAGTTAGGGATGGGGTGGTGAGGAGGGCTCAGGACAGGGGGCTGGATGTGTGGGGGGAGTGCAGGAGTCAGGATTGGGAGGTGAGGAGGGGCTCATGGCAGAAATGTAGGGGGTGCAGGAGTTAGGGCAGAGGGCTGGGGAAGCCTCAGGGCAGAAAAGTGGGGGATGCAGGAGTCAGGGCAGAAGGAGGGCTAAGGGCAGGGGGTGAGAAGTGCAGAATTCAGGACAGGGAGTGGGGTTGGCCAGCAGCTGCTCTCTGTGGAGGGTGGTGGGGGCTGCACAACCCAGCTGGCAGCTGCTCCCCTGGGGCCAGCCCTGGGCAAAAGGGGCCATGCTGCCTGGCCGGCATCTGCTCTCTGGGACTGGGGTGTTTGCTGTCCCCCTTGTGGTGAAATATAACATGCTGAAATATAACTGTTACCCCACACTTGCTGCCCCTCTGTGGTCATTCTGGGGTATAACTGTCGCTGCTATCAGAGATGTCCCTTCCATTTGATGAGAAACAATTTGATTTCGGGAACATCCCATTGTCCTGGCACAACCAACCCCTGACCTTGCTTTAAGTTATGATGACAGGATACTGCATATCAAATTTGGTGGGTCTAGCTCATACTATTTAGCAGTAGCTCTTGAACAAACAGACTCACAGATGGATGCATAGACAGACATACAGGCAGTCCCCGGGTTACGTACAAGATAGGGACTGTAGGTTTGTTCTTAAGTTGAATTTGTATGTAAGTCGGAACTGGTACATATTGTAGGGGAAACTCTAGCCAAACATTTCTCCAGAGCTCAGTTTTATTCTCCCACACCTCACTTCCCTCAGTCCTTTATTTTCAAGCTGAGGTATCTGCTGAGAAAAGCTGCTCTGCATCTCCCTGGTCTGCTGGGGGGGGAGGGGGGCGCTAGCTTCGCGTCTCCCTGGTCTGCTGGGGGGAAGCAGCTAGTGCGGGGTTGCCTCACCCCGTTTGTAAGTAGGGATCCGATGTAAGTCGGATCCATGTAACCCGGGGACTGCCTGTATATACATACACCCTCTCAAATATATAGTAAATGTGAATAACTCCATTTCTTAATTGCCTCTCTTTCCTTATCTGTAAGGAAATAGACAGGAATTCCAACTCTTCATTCCTAGCCCACAGGTTTTTTTTAGTTTTGACCAATATGTATAATTGTACTAGACACATGGTTGGCAGTCTTACCTTAGTATTTCTTATGTCCGGAAAACATTTTTCCCCTAATTGTGGTGCTGAAGTAACAAAGCAGTCTCCCTCTCTGTGGGGAGTTCTTTATGACATGTTTCCTGAAACTATTCCCTAATAGTAAAATACATGCTGCATGTGCTGTAGGATTGATTTTTTTTTTGTTGTTTCCCTTATTTTTTAGTATGTAAATTACTGATGGTCTTACATTTTACATGCAATAATATATATTTCATTGTTTTTATTTTAGAACCTCATACCATGATCCTGTAATGGGAAACAAGTATGCAGCTAATCGAAAAAGCACTGGACAGATAAATCTAAGCACAAGTCCTATTAGTAGTGGCAATTATTTGGGATATTATAGCAATGCAAGGAGTAACTCTTTGAGACTGAGTTTAATTGGTGACCGGAAAGGGGACCGTCGACGGAGTAACACACTGGATATAATGGATGGACGAATAAACCATGGTGGAAGCTTAGCAAGGACTAGAAGCCTCTCCTCTCTGAGAGAGGGAGGAATGTGTGATGTGCAGCTCACTACTGATCCTATCAACCTGATGGCCAACATTTTTTGGATTGCAGCATCATTGCTAGAATCAGATTATGAATATGAATATCTCCTGGCTCTCAGGCTGCTCAACAAACTTCTTATTCACTTGCCTCTGGATAAATCAGAGAGCTGGGAGAAGACAGAAAAGATACAGAATGAAATGAAATGGAATAACTTTCCAGGCCTTCAGCAGCTCTTCCTTAAGGGCTTTACCTCAGTGTCTACACAGGAAATGACAGTTCACCTCCTCAGTAAACTCATCACAGTCTCCAAACATACATTGGTTGATCCCTCCCAATTAGCAGGTATCTTTAATCAAGTTATACATAATAATATTTAATTTGGTAATAGGTCAACTGAAAAATAAATTACTGCATTAAAAGCAGTAGTGATACATCTGCCAGGGAAGAGCAAATGTAAATCTTGTGGTCCCCAGCATTGTTACACTAGGTATAATATAGATTATAATCATTTATCTGTAAGCATGGTGTGAAGAGGTTGTATGAGTCAACTACTGGATGATTAGAATAGTATATTATATTATAGTAAATTTGTTTCCAAAGTAAGAAATAACATATCCGTTTTTTCTTCTAAAGCTGTTTAGTCAGAGTATCCTTGATATAATGCTATTTTAAATCTTTGCATATTCTCTTAGGACCTTGCCATTGTGCTGAATAAGAGTTCTGAGTTACTTAATAATTTTGTTTTCCCAATAGCTTTATGATTTAAGATGGAAGTAGAACAATAAAACAGTTTTGGTTACAGAGATCTTGTTTTTTAAAATACTGAGAATTTGTTGTGTGCTCACATAACTTCAGCACCATTTGTTATCTGCAGGATTTCCTCTTAACATCTTGTGCTTACTGCCTCATCTAATCCAGCATTTTGATAACCCAACTCAGTTCTGTAAAGAAACAGCAGACAAGATAGCAAAGGTATGTAAATATTTTAAAAATAACATTCCAGGAATTATTCACAACTTTGGCTTTCACTTTTACAGTCTTATTTATACCAATTAACTCTGTAAAGTAGTACAACTCTGTTTTTCCACTAAATTATTTTCTTCCATATCTAAGACTTTTCTGTAATAATTGCATTAATGAGAAGTAATTGTTCTCTAAAGGTCACTGAAGTCAACGGGAGTATTTACACTGAAATCAGGTTCTAAGTACTCCTCTGTAGAAGCAGAGTACCTACCAATTAGGCTTAACCTATAAATTGGGAAGATATGAAACAATTCTTCCTAGTATGGCTGGCAAAAGACAGCTAGTGAACTTAAAAATTCTGAGTGTCTTTCAAATAATTTAATTTTCAAATGCAGTTCACAGTTTAATTCTAGTGAGGAATGGTCCTTACGTTTGAGACTGGAATAGGGATGTTAAGGACTAGTCAACTCTCCGATTAGCAAATGCTTATCGGATAGACAGTCAACTAGACAATTTATCCTCCTCCCTTGATGCCTCTATCAGATAAAGACAGCAAAGAGGGTGAAAGAGGGGGTACTTAAAAGTGGCAGTGCCGCCTCTTTGAAACACAGAGGCGGTTTGTCAAAGGGAACAGCGCCACACAGCTGAGCACAGGGGCAGTAGGGGACTCCCAAGCTGTTCACGGACTCCAGCTCAGCATTTCCGCGGAACCTGGGATCAGCTGGGGATATGCCGTGCAGAACCTGTGGTCAGCTGGGGAGTCCCCAGCTTATTCCAGGTTCAGCTGAAATGCCACGGAGAGCCTGGGATCAGCCGGGGAGTCCCCATCTGACGCCGGCTTTGTGTAGCATTTCAAAGCTGGCACCCACGTGTAGCCCGGAGTCAGCGGGACTTCCCATTGGCCCTGATCTGTATGCAGAGTTCCGCATTCCTCCTTTAAAAGGGGGGCTCTTGTACATTTCAAAGGAGGAATGCGGAAGTGCCTATCAACTAGTCAAATAGTCAATGGAATTTCCATCGATTACTCAACTAGTCAATTAACGGTTAGTTAACATCCTTAGACTGGAATGTAGAGAGAAAATGAGTATTGTACCGCTTTGTCACTTGCAGACAATGATTATCTTGTAAAAAATTGATTTCAATGACCTTGTAAATTGCAGTCTTTGTTAATGTGAGGTAAAACATGTGCCAGTGATTCTCAAATAGTGGTTCTCAGCGCACTTCACTGGAAAGAAGAGCATGGAATTGGAAATGAGATGGCACAAGCTTACAGTTTTGCTGTTATGGTCCACTACTGCACAATAGGTCAGGCAGTGTGACTACTGGATAGAACACTGAACTGAGGCTTAAGTTCTATTCCAGGATCTGCCATTGTCCTGTTAGGTGACATTATTTGTCACATCTATACCTCAGTTTCCATATCTGTAAAATGGGGATAATGATACTGATTTCTTTTTGTAAAGTGCTTGATATCTGCAGAGGAAAAATGCTATCTAAGATAGGCTTGCACTGAGGGCTAGCTGCCCCATCCCAAGACCCCATCCCTTCTGGGAGCATGGAGCCAGGGCTCACCACAACCTTGCCCAGGGGCCCGTGGAGGCTGTCAGCTCCCAGGGCAGTGATATTGTTATAAGAACAGGAGAGGAACAAAGTTGCCCTCAGACACAGGAGCCAGAGTGTGAATGGAGCTGCCAGTTACCAGAGGGAGGAGAATGTCCAGAGAAGAAGTAAAGGAGGCAGCTAGGTATATTTCTGGGAGACAAGTAGAGAAAAGGATTGGGTGTTTGGGTTTGTCATATTCAAGAGAGAGGAAGAGAAGGGTACAGGCAAAGCATATGCTGAAGAACAAGAGGATGGAGGAAGAGAACTGATGGAAGGAAGGGGAAAGGTTAATTAAAGATTACCAGTGAGCAATGTAATTAATTAACTTTTTTTCAAAAAGGACAAAACATGTATTTTATTAAAGACAATTAAAATACATATGCACTTTATTAATACTGCTATATTGCTCCATTGTGTAAGCAAGCACTGTAGTTGCCATTGGAATTTGCAAAATGTTATGCAATCACAATGGAACAAGTGCAATAAGAAATGGAGGGAGAACTGGTCATTGAAACTCTCTCTATTGAACCAATTTATCTTGGTGACAGAGACACTTTTGAGTTTACACACAACTCTTCTTCAGGTCAGTACTATGTGGCTGTGTCTAAACTACATCCCCCTGTCGGCAGAGGGATGTAAATGAAGCGAGGATTTAAATATCCCGCGCTTCATTTGCATAATCGCATCATGGTGCTATTTCGAAATTGAAACCGTGGTTTAGAAGCAGTTTTTTCGACAACGGGGTGCTTTTTTGAAAGATCCTGTACTCCTACAGGATCTTTCGAAAAAGCACCCCATTGTTGAAAAAACTGCATTTAAACTGCTGTTTCAGTTTCAAAATGGAGCTTGTTCGAAACAGCACCATGACACGATTATTCAAATGAAGCGCGGGATATTTAAATCCCCGCTTCATTTGCACTTTCAAAGTGCTTCATTTACATCCCTCTGCCGACAGAGGGGTATAGTTTAGACGTAGCCTATAGGAAATATTCATTCAACAGATTTATTCTATTCAAGGTTTTCTCTTTTTGAATTCATTGTCAAAATTGTTGAATCCATCTGGGAGTATGATTGAGCACTTAAATCAGGAATGGGCAAGATTCAGCCCTTGAGCTGGATTCTGCCCATCAAGCCTTTGGATCCATGCCTGCCGCAGTCTCCCTGCCAAGCACTGCTTCAGGCTGCTCCAGAGACCTGGCCACTGGGAGCTGCCATGATTGTGCTGTGGGTGGGGGCAGCATGCATATTCTTTCTCACTTTCTTCCCAGCACATGGCACATAGAGGCACATGGAGTAGCCAGCTGCTTTGAGTGGCCTGAGACTGTGGCAGGCAGGGAGTCTGCCTGAGGGTCCCTGTGGGAGGAGGTGGCGAGTAGTCCTGTGGCACCTTATAGACTAACTGAAGTGTTGGAGCATAAGCTTTCGTGGGCAAAGACCCACTTCGTCAGATGCATGTGTGAGGAGGGCCTCGCAGTACAGGGGTTAAACAAAGCCTTTTTGCTCAACTAGCCCCACTCTGTTTTACCTGCAGCCAATGCCAGGCCTAGAGGGAGGATAAAAGAGAAAGGAACCTGACTCAGTTAGGGGCTGACCAGTGAGGAGACCAGAGCAGGTTCTGCTGTCTGCGGGACCTGAGCCAAAGTTGTCTATTGGGTCATCCTCAGGAGCATATAAGCCTCCAGCCCCTCCCCTTGTTACAAAGCAGTAGAACCTACAGGGAACCCTCACTGAGAGAGAAATTGGACTCTTGGGGCCATACCCCAAACTTAAGAACCAGACTTAGAAAAGCTGAAAATCCTAGGTCTGGGGCCCCAGCTGCAGGGGCCTACATCCCCTTTGCCACCAGCTAACTCCAGAACCTAGCCTCTAAGCCACCCTGCTGCCCTGGAGACCCAGCCACAATTCCACTGTGCTGCTGGCTGGATACCATGTAAGTAAGCACCTCCTAGCTAGAGCCTGCATCTGGCACCCCTCCTACACCCAACTCTCTGCCCCAAGTCACCACCCAAGTCTTCTGCATTCCAGGTCACCACTTAAACCTTCTGCATCTCCCACTCCGTCCCAGGTCTTGCACCCCTTCCTACATCCCTCCCCAAGGCCAGACTCCTCTCCTGCACCTATACCTCCTCCCCAACTTTGCATCCCAGTCTGCTGCTGCAAATCACCACCCAAATCCCTCTGCACCAAGTCAGAATCCTTTCCTGCTCCTTAAAGCCCTTCCTGGACACTGCACCAGGTCACAAGCCTCTCCTTCACCCAAACTTTCAGACTCTACACCCTCTCTTGTATTCCAAACGCAGACCCTGAGCATCCTTCTGCACCCAACCTCTGTCCCAGATCCTGCAGCCCCTTTGTAGAAAAGTGCAGCCCTTAACCACTTACCAAAATCTTGTAGTGCCTGCTCATCAAAAATTATTCTCCCATCTTAAATGATCAGTTTATCATACATTGAATTAATAGTTACATAAAATCATTATTTAAAGTATTACCAGTAAAAACACTGTGCCAAATTTTTTGCCCAGACTTCTCCAGTTTATAACAGAGCAGTAAGTCCACTTGAAGTATGGATGTAGTTGTGCAAGAGTGCCTGCCACACTAGGGAACCTGTAACTAAGCTGCGTAGCTCCAAAAGTATGGGTGAACTGGAGTAGAAAAGTAAGAATAGCCTAGCAAGCAACAGAGCCAGGTCTTCCAGGATATGTATCCCCTCCCAGGCATCCTTCACTGATCAGATTTCATGGCTACTCTCTCTTGTAAAACTGCCTCCAGTACAGCTACCCCTAAAGGCATGATTATTACCCTACATGGCTATTTTGTTTTAACAGTGTACGTACTCTGCACATTTTTAATATAGAATAATAATTTAAAATCTTTTTGGCAGTTATTTTTATATTATTATTATCATTATTTTATAATACATTGAAATTATTGAGCCTATATAAAAACAGACGTTCTTGTGGTTACGTTGTCCTCTGAAGAAGTGGGTTGTACCCACGAAAGCTCATGATAGCATCTACATGTTTTGTTAATCTTTAAGGTGCTGCTAGATTATACGTTGTTTTTTAAGTTTTTCCACTTACAGACTAACTCGGCTGCTTCTCTGAAGCTATTGTCCTCAGTGTTTATTGAAAATTAAATCCTAAAATTTCAGAAAAGTATCATGTGATTTTCAAACTTTTTTTCTCATGAACCAGTTGGAGAAAATTGTAGATGCTCACAACCCAACATAATTTGACTGAAGTGTGGGCTCCGGGGCGGAGCTGAGGATGGACTGTAGGAGAAGACTGGCTTTGGGAGAGCCGAGTTCAGAGCTAGGGCAGTAGGCATTACCTCGAGCAGCTCCCAGTCAGCGATGCAGTGCGGGTGCTAAGGCGGGCTTCCTGCCTGTCCTGGCACTGCAGACCATTCTGCACCACAGAAGCAGCCAGCAGCAGGTTTCCAGCCAATTGGAGTGTGGAGCTAGTGCTCAGGGCAGGGTCCATGTGCGGAGCCCTGTGCATTCTTCCCTCTTCTACCCTCCCTCCCCAAAGGAGCTAGTCTGCGGTGTCAGGATAGGCAGGAAGCCTACCTTAGCATCTCCACTGATCACCCTGTAGCAATGAGACCCGGTGCCTGACATTCCATGATCCAGTACTGGACTGTGACTCCTAGTTTGAAAACCACAGACATATTCCATATACGCAATAATTTGGTAAGTGAAGGAAATTAATTTCTTTATTTTTTGTTTTGTAGGTTTGTGCAGAAGAGAAGTCACCAACCCTTGCCAATTTGGCACATATGATGAGTTTATACAGTACTCACAGTTATTCCAGAGACTGTTCTAATTGGATTAATGTCGTGTGTAGATATTTGCATGACTCCTTCTCAGAAACAACATTTAAGCTGGTAACTTACCTTGCAGAGGTAAATTTTATTTAAAATTGTTTTATTTATTTAGACAGCCTGAGTTAGACCATGCGTTTATTGATGGCACGCTCTTATTTTTCACTTTCTTGAAAATCAGGACTTCTTCTGTGGAAGAAAGTGGTATTAAAAGGTTGTAGGATTTGAAGAGGAGAGGATGGCTAAAACCATTTTTGAGTAGTGAATCTGAATTTTTAAATTGAAATGGTAATTCCACTTATGATGGGTCTATTTTTCTATGACAGTTATGTTTTGTAAAAAATATTACATTCTGTGCCTTTTACATCAGTTTCTGGCACACAGTTGTTATTGCGCCTTTCTTATTTCAATCAAAGTCTGGAAAAAGTACATATATTTTGGTATTAAAGAAATATATTTAGAGAACATATATTTAAAAGAAATTCTATGATCCAGATTAAGTTGTAATTTAAAGTTGATCTCAATAGAAAATAAAATTTAATCAGAGAGTAAAGATGTTCATATTGTGAGACATGTTTTTCAAATTGCTTTGAGCAGACAAAATTTAGTGAAGAGTTCTGCATGTGCTCCATGTGCAAACTACTATTGCCCCTAATAGGAGTGTTCTGCATGGAGAATTTATCAGAACTTGCCCTTAAAATCTATCACTTAAAATACTGATAACCCTGGTATCTCTTGATTTTTATTTTCTGAATGAATCTTTGAGTTTGTGTGACTATTTTATTGATTAAAAACCATAGAAATTATATGAATCAAACTTCTATAAGTCTTGCAGATCATAAGTCCTGTATGTAACATAGTTTGCAGCTTTTCCAGTTTTTGTACAGTATTTTAAAGAAGCATACATATGAATTCAGGAAGCTTTGGGGATTTAGGAGAGTTATTTTATTTAGTCTAAAGTATTTTGCTAATAGGTGCTTTAGACCAGTATTAACATTTAAAGTATCACCAAAATTACCTTACATAATAAACGAAGGATGTGAATACAGAAGAAAATATTGGAATAGAATATGCAGTTTATTGTACTCTGCTGTATTCTCTTTTACAATCCAGACATCAAAGTTTTGAAATAAATGGATAATTTACCACATAAATATAAGGGGGGGGGGGGAAAGAAATGTAGAGCAAAGTTAACTAGCATTTATTATTGTATACAAACCTTTATATCCTGTGCTGCCATCAAGTAACATTATTAAAATTTACTTCTTTTATTATATTTTTAGCTGCTAGAGAAAGGATTATCAAGCATGCAGCAATCTTTACTGCAGATTGTTTATAGTCTTCTGAGTCATATTGACCTGTCTGCAGCACCAGTGAAGCAGTTTAATCTGGAAATCATAAAGGTTATTGGTAAATATGTTCAGGTGGGTATTCTGAAAATGTAAATAACCAGAAAACGTATATTTATGAAGTAAAGAAAAATGTCATGCAGATGCACTTAGCATCTATTTTTTAATGAAGATCATTCAAAAGTAGTCAGTTGACTTTATCAAGATGGCAGTGCTAAGTGGAATCCAGCAGTATTTGTTTTGTTAAAAATAGCCTCAAACCTGTATATGTTTACGTGTGTGTTTAACGTTACTCACAGTAATAGACATTATGACTTTAATGGAATTACTTACATGAGTGTATTTATACACATTCTTAACTATTTACAGATTTGGGCCTCTGTAGGTATATAGTGATAATGAAATACAAGCTTTCTGCTATCACAATGCAATTTTCTGGATAAAGGAAAATGTTTACATCCATGTACTGCAGAAATTCCTTCTTTAAGCATATTTGTTTTCGAAGAGAAGCTTCATAGTTAAATGCTTATTTGATTACTTGCACTAATATTAATGTTCTTCAGATGAGCATGGACATAGATACATTAAAATACAGTTTAATGAAATTCAGGTACATTTATTTAGATGATAGCAACTGTCAAAAGATAGATGACAAAATTGTGCTTCTGGTCATTCATTGTTTCACGTTTTCAATACAGTTGATAAAAAATGTAATCCCTGGGAGAAATTTGGGCTTTTTGTAGAAAAAAATTACAAAAATGCCTGAAGGGTATAATCATTTCAGTCTACAAAGTTCTGATTTTTCTTTCTTTATCCCTGACCTTCTTTATTGTGAAATGTAGTTCCACAAAATGGTTTAATCATAATTAACCAGGAAGAGTAGTATTCTCTGGACATTTTGTTATGATAGATACTCACTTTAGTTATTGTCCTTGTGTCAAGAGCCATTAAGCATAACCGGATGATCGATGTAGTCATAGTTTCCTGGCTTGATGTCTGCTCCCTTTCCTTTTAACTGCTATAGGAACACTTTATCTTTATTGAATGTAATCTTAATTAGTAAGTTACGCAAAGAAGAAATTAGCTCTTGCAATACTGATGATAATGAAAGGGAAAGAACATAAGTGTAGTTGGACACTTTCTTTAGCAGGGTAGAATTTCTTCTTTTTGGTAACCTCTTCCCCTCAAAAAAGAGGCAGTTAGCATTTTATCTACTTTACAGATGGTAGTACTGTCTAGTTTCTCAGGATCCTGCAATGAGAATATACTTCTAATAATTAATCTTAGTAAACAACTACCCAGGACTGAAAGTACATTTGTAGTGAAATGTACACATGCATTGGACAAATCATAAGACTGAAGCCCAATAGATATCCATTACCAGTATTTGTGTCGATTTTACTATAATCCTGAGAGTAATTGTTTATCTTATAAAATAGTAAATTGATTTATTACATTTTTAAGAAATAAACTACAAATGTATGACACATGCTATTGATAGAGACATGCCATATACAATTTCTAAACAACATTTAAATATATGTAGCTTCAAATACTGGAAATGTTTTCAGTCAGGGAGAATCCTGAAATTTTGAGCAACATAAAAGGTAACGTTGCTGATATGCTTCTTCTGGTATGTTTTCTTTCCTTTCCTTTTCTCAGTTCTCTTCCCCAGCCCCACCTCCGCATCTTCCCAGCTGGAACTGCTCACTATATTGAAGGCTATCAGTGTTCAATTAAAGAGAGTGCACTTAGACCATATGCTTCCTGTTGTGTACTCATACTCTTGTCCTGATTACTTCAAGAGATGGTTCAGCATGAGCCTGTATAAAACCCCTGTAAATGCTTCTGCTTTATTTTTGTCAGGTCTCTGAATCTGATTTAAAGCCTGAGATCTTATTCATGTATATATCGTTACATTTAACCTACATTGAAGTCTAAATAATTAAAAGTGCAAGAAGTTATATCTTTTCAAAATTTTGCTGACTTTTAAAATAACACTGGAACAAATAAAGCAATAATCTTGACAGAAGTCCTTGTATTCCAGCTGTTGAGTTGTGAACAAGCTCTTTAAAATGAAATTAACAATTGTGGATGATTTTGAAAGGCTCCAGTAAATCTATTTTTATTCTTACCTGGTAGAAGGGAGAAGAAGAAAATAGCCATTTTCCTTGAACACTTAAATTTGAGCGAACTGTTTCCAATGTACAATACAATCCTTTGAAAGACTAAAGAAATATTACTTTAGTATATAATTTTAAAATGTTTATTCCAATAGAAACTGCTTCAGCTGGTATTGTTTACTCTTTATATAGAGGCACAAATACTTTCATGGGTTCTTCCACAGACTTGGTACATCTACAAACCCACACCATTAGTCACCTTGAAATCCCTTCTCAAAATTCCAATTTGCCATGTTGCCGACAAAAAATTTCATAACGGGTAGGCTACTGATGTGCAGAGACCACTGGCTTTCGTGAAGATTAATATTGTCTCATTGTTTCCTTGTACTCTCCCATATGTCTCTATTAATCATTTGTCTCATATTTAAATTAACTCCTTGGCTCAGATTGGTCTTTTTGTTATGAATTTGTACAGAGCCTAATAGGGTGAGGTCCAGGTCCGTGAGTGGTGCTCCTACGTGCTACAGTAACACAAATAAATACAAAGAATAGAAAAGGGTCAACTTCACTCTCAAATTCTCACATTCTAAATATATAGAAGGCTCCTCTAACCTCTTTCCAGACAGTAATCTCTCTTAAAGGGGCATTATCCAAGATTGATAGTCTATAGGTACATAAACTAACAGCTCCCATTGATCACTGTTAGCCATTCCTGGCCAATGGAAGCTACAGGACTGAAGCTGCGGGCTGAGACACTACTTCCCTCAGCCCCCAATGGCTGGGAACAGCAAACTGCAGCCAACGGGAGCTGCAATAGCTGTACCTTTGGACGCTCAGGTAAATAAAGCATCTGGCGGGCCCACCAGGGGCTAATTCTGGTGAACCACATCCATCCCGTGGGCTGCTTAATGCCCTAATACATCAGTTGTCTGGTAATTGTCAGCTTTAACCTATAAATCCATATAGAAACAGTTTTAATAAATACATTAAGAGTAGTTTAACTCCCATTATTTGTGGCAAGTGGGATGATACCTACTTTCATTTATTTTTCCTCTCTTAAACCTTTAGTTAAATATATCCACACTAAGTGGATATAAAGACACAATAGTGGCAATCTTATTCAATACTTTGTGCTTCATTATGGTGATAGTACTGGGTTAAAGTTATGATTATGGTGGTGGTTTGAGTAAGAGATGCATTTCCTAATGAGAACACTAATATTAACATTTAATTTACTTACTTTCTAATGGTTTTAATTCAAACAGTCTTCAAAGGTGATATATATTTAAATAACAGATATCTGTCTGCAGCTTTGTCTCCATTTTAGCAAAGATTTTCTCTGTGGCATTTCCTTAGTTTTAAAGTACCCCTAACTATGACATTTTGGGGATCAGTGAGCTTGTAGGGGCATTCTTCTTGCTCAGACTTTGAAGTCTGCAAGAAGAGAACCCTACTCTTGAATACCACCTAAGAAATAAAAGCAAGAATATCTCTTCCTGGGATCCTAGTGGAGTCTGCAGAGAAACCAGGGTCAGTTTGTTACAGCATTGCTCCTTTTTTTTTCTAATAATCTCCTGAGGTCCCCAGAATGGGTTAAAAGGAGTAGAGCTCCCATTGGGGAAATAGGATGTTCTTCTTCGCGTAGTGTTCCCGTAGGTCGTGGAGCACCCACGGGGACACACATCTCGAAGAACCCTTGTTACTGCACAAGGTAAATAACTTCCTTTTTATTGGCTGTGGTGGGAGAGAAGTATTCAAACCCCTTGCCCTGTAGGCATTAGGATCCTCTCTGCAGCCCTCGGTCATCACCCTCATGAGCCGTGGGATATTCTTCAGGTATCAACCCAAGTCCTACTGCCAAGTCTAAATACAATTGTCAGTTTTCCAGTTACAGTAAACTTCCGATAATCTGGCACCTTTAGGACCCAGGCAGTGCCGGATTATCAGATATGCCGGACTATCGGAAGGCGGGGGGGGGAGAGATCCTCTCTGCAGCCCTCGGTCATCACCCTCATGAGCCGTGGGATATTCTTCAGGTATCAACCCAAGTCCTACTGCCAAGTCTAAATACAATTGTCAGTTTTCCAGTTACAGTAAACTTCCGATAATCTGGCACCTTTAGGACCCAGGCAGTGCCGGATTATCAGATATGCCGGACTATCGGAAGGCGGGGGGGGGAGAGCT